CTTCCTCAGGTGTCTTTCAACGAGTTCGGACACGTTCTTAATATATGGAAGTGTTCGCCATCTTTTTGGATTGGGTGTCTGATCGGGACAATCTGGTTCCTTTTCTTTTTGCTTTGACTGTTGTCGCCTCATGCATCGACGCACGAACTGTCTGGGGTAACCGTTTTTTGAAAACAATTTGACCAGGTAATTGAGTTCGGCTTGGAAGAGTTCGGGACTAGAACAATGCGTTCTTGCTCGGTTGATTAGGGTGGCAACAGCACTCCAAACCATCGTTTCCCAAAGTGCTTTCTCTACATAATTATACTTCTTGGGATGCCGATTTTCCAATTTAAACGTAGGAGTATTTGCAGAAATCCCGATTTGGTTGCGGCCTCTCTAGTAGACCACAGTCATCCAAACAATTTGCTCATGCGATCCAGTTATTTTAAACCATATTACGTGCGTGTGAGGTCTGAAAAGAAGGGGGGGGGGCATTCCGAAGTTAGCTTTGTAGAAAAGGCCCGCTACTCGCCATTCCCACTAACATATCAGACAAAACGCATACCAAGAAATCAGTTGACCCAATTGTGAGAAATTCGCGGCCTTGGTAGGAATCGAACCCACACAGATTTGAGCAGTAAGTTGGGCGGCTGAAATCGATCCAAGTGTGATTAAATTCACAGCTCACGGTGAGCCTATTAACTCAGTGATAGAGCGGCGTTGGCTGCGCAAAAGCCCTCCCTGCTGTGTGGGTTCGACTCCCATCGAGGCCGCGACTTTTTTTCATAATTGGGTCATCTAAACTAAGCAAATCTGCCAAACCCCTCTAACTATTACCCAAAGTTATTATAATATTCTGGTACACTTTCACCTGACGGAAAATCTCCAGTCTCGTCTGGGGCTGGCTGTGGTGCCTTCCTCTTAACCTGATATCTAGAATTGTCCTCAGTCGAATACCAAATGGGCAGATAGGAACGAACACATGGGCAAAGCGGATACATGTGGCCTCCTTATGACGGATCAAGCCTAGTTTTGCCGTCCTATGGATCAAATCATTGTCAGGCAGTCGGCTGAATGCCTCTGCAT